CAGGCTATTACTATCCTTTCACAGACACAGGTGGGAAAAGAAGTCTTGGTAGCTTAGCAGGAGACAAATTAGAGTCCCTATAATCCACAAACATGGCTGCCTCCCATTGGCTTGGAGGCTACAGAATGGCCTCTATGGGAATTGTAAAATGAGTATAAAGTATATGATTGAGCTTGTAAATTGTATGACCAACTACGCTTGTAGGTCAATCTCCAACTGCCAGGGCTTTTGCTCTGACTGGAGTTAACATAGAAGCTAAAAAGTATATGCCTTTATGATTAAGAGCATATACACACCACTGTTTCTAGGCCAATTTCTTTATCTGACCTGGTCCCTTTATACTTCAATGTTCAACACTGGCAAAGACTTCAGAGACCTGTCAAGCACTGTTAAGGACTGAAGCTTTGGCAAAGCCGCCTACAGAGACCTTTACTGGTTTAATTATTAACTAATGTATATATGTAGACAGAAATTTAAGTCTTTGTGAGGTATATGGATTAAATGAAGAAATGAGGTTTTAACATTGGATAAAAATGATACCATAATCTTTTAACAATGGTGTTTCAATTTATTTAAATGACTCCTCACCAGATTGGGGGGGGGGACTGGAAAACTAAAGGAATCTACATGCAAAATGCTTTTCACAAACCATTGGAATATGTAGTCAAAATGTCACAAAACACAAAAAGTCTGCCAAACCCAAATGAACCAATATATACACATGCAAACACAAACATGCATGTACTGTGCTACAGAGAAGCAAGACATTGGGTCATGAGAAACACAATCTGGCCTGAAACAAAAATCTTTTTTCATGTTACACACACAGATTCTAAATGGAGTGTTCAAACCCTAAAGAACAAAATATAATTCATGTGCTCAGATTTTGAAGATTCCCTTTAGAAATTCTCTTTTCAATTAAGGACTACCTATCTGGGTTTATAGATTTTTCTTAAAAAAAAGTATGTATCATACTAGTGGCTAGAACAAACCAATAAAAGGGTCTGTATTCTTAACAGATGTGGAAAATAGGAAAACTTACTCCCTAGCAACTCCATGGTTCCCTGCTAGCAAAGGTTCTCTAAACTGTGTGGTCTCTGTACTCATTAAGCACCACATAATCTTGAAGGGTGGGAGCGGGGGTAAAGACAGGTGAACCAGAATAACAACAGTACCCTGGAACCAACAGTACCCTGGATACTAGAGAAGAGGAGTGTTACGTGTCATAACAGATAGCATATTTATTATTTGACTTGAGATAATAAAATCCTTTTATTTTCAGGAGAGGGAAAAGCACAAGGAACTATGGTGATGGTGTACAGGTAAATTGGTAGTGGGAATTTTACAGGGACTACAACTGAGAGGAGAAAGCAAATATTGTACAAAAATGAACAATGATAAAATATATAAATACATTTAAAAATAAATGATTTTAAGAAACCCTTTTATTTTCGAAGACAAAAATCATGATGACAATGATTAAGGGCTATCGTATATCATGCATTTCCTCTGTGTTGGACATGTAACATTAATAACTTCAATTAATCAACTAACTCAGCAATGTTCTGAGTCAGTTATTAACATACCCATTTTAGAGATGTGCAAACAGGTTCAGTTAGGTTACATAATTTATGTTTACAACTGTGACAAATTCATGACAGGTTTCTAATGGATCTCCTATAGGGCTACAGACTCCCGGACCATTAGAAATGAACCACTGATATTAACAAGAATCAAGAATTCTGGCAAATGCATGAATTCAGAGAGCCATACAACTGCCATGATGCACAAGGGCATAAGAGGTGCAGAGTGATGACTTAGGAGTTATGGGATTGAATCTGTTATTTTTGCACTTCCTACAATTTCTATGACTAGCACGAATATCTGCTACAGAAATGGCAGATATTCTGCTGTTTCTCCTACAACTATTATCTATGTTTCTCTGGCCAAATTTCTCATCTATAAAATGAAGCAGTTGTACTTGACCACTGGAAAGTTGTGAAGATTCAATCTGACTCTATATAGTACCTTATATGGCATCAAGGAAAAGTTTCATTTCCCCTATCCAGTCCGGCGCAGACAATCAGCAAATACTGCAATACTCGAGAAGGAAAACACCACTGTGAAATAAGTAAGGAAAAGTTCCAAAGCCTTGAGTGAACTTTGGAATTTGTACTTTAGACTGAAGGGTGAGGTGGTATAATGCCTGAGAGGTCTTCAGAAACAGTTATACACCTACTATGGAGCGCTTAAAGAGGAGCAACCTTACATACAATTATGAATAAGTAGGTTCACCACAAGCTCTAGTCTTCCTTTTGGTCCTAATAACCATGTATTTCTTCCCTATCCTCATAATTCAGAAGTATAGAATCTACAATTATCATCTTTCCCCAGTGCTACCTTCAGGGCCAGGATGAGTACAGTTTTTGACAAACGGGGCCTGCTGAACAGTTATAGGAGATACTGATAAGATTGGGTCAGTTCTTAGGTGCCTATATTTCTGTATGTTACATGATGAGTTATCCTTCTTATTCCCATTTTCCTTCATAGCAGTTTAATTTTTATTCTTAATTATCTTACTTATTTCTGAGGTCAAGGTAATTCACTGAAATTCAGGTAACCAGTAACTCAGTTTGCTAGAATATCTGCATCTACCATCATCTGGCTAAAGTTAATCACCAACGGGAAAATGAATAGAAAGTTTACACTATTAACCAGTATTTTCCTAGAAAAATACTACGCTATTGTTAACACACACACACACACACACACACACACACACACACACACGGCGGGGGGGGAGTGCTATATAACACAACCTGAAAAAATGTGAAATTCACATTTTCTAAAAACTGAATCTAATCTAGAATTTTAAATAATCGTTATAATAAAAGACAATGCAATGTTAGTTACAAAGGAAAAAATCATAAATAAAAACTACAAGTATTCCAGGGTTCTAAAAGGTTGGTAGCTAGGTAAAGTCTTTTTTTTTTTTTTTTAAAAGATTTATTTATTTACACAAGCACTGGGTACAGTCAAAAGTGCCGGAGGGTGAGAGAATTCACCAGAGTCAGAGCGGAAAGCAGAGCAGGCAGAGTGACAAAGTACACTGCTGAGGGGAGTAGCAGGTGGCAGGAGAGGTCTGCGCACCATGTGGGACCCTCACCCAGCGGCCAGGGATCGAACCGGCACTGCAGAGGCTGCGGGCGGCTTCGCAACCCAGCGCTCAAACACTGCGCCACCAGGGAGGCCCTAGGTAAAGTCTTAATGTCAAATTACTTTTGTTGTCTTTTATAAAACTGATTAAGAACTCCTAGAGGTAACATTTGCGTCCAAACATAATAGGCCACCATGTAATGTAACATTGCCTTTTCAAGTTTATATTTGGAAAATAAACAATTACAAAAAAACTCAGTATTTAATTTACCTGAGTCTCAACCTCATGACTCTCTTGCCTATAAAAGTATGATCAGCTAAAGAGTATTACTTACTGATGCAAGGTGGTCTTTTAGAAGATGTGGCAAATTAACAAGCAGACACCTGTCTTTTCTAGCATGGCACTCTCTTTTAAGTCAGTGTTAAATCTCAAAGAAGAAAGGCTCTTGAGAACTCATGCAGGGCAAGTTCTAAAGTTTACAACTAGAAATTTGAAAAAGGGTAGGGAAATTTTAGTCCTCTATAGTAACTTTAGAACACATTTTGTTCCTTAATTTTTAAGTGACATCACTTTCTGGGTATTAAAAGTCTACAGTGTGGTCATTTAACTGTGAGATCTTGAACTGAACTCTAACCAGAGAACAAATGCACAAATAAGGGAATTATGAACCATTTCTTATAGAACAAAGTAGACCCATTTTCATTTCAACTGACATGCAAGACAGTTCACGAAACAATTTGACACCCACAGAGAACCACTCAATGGGTTATTGGTGGAGTTGTTACAGTAATCTGCAAGCTATAGCCAACACCTAGACATCTTGTATCAATGACCTGTGACTGGCTCCAGCATAAACAGATGGGTTACCAAGTAAAATCTTGCTTATGGAAAATCTACTCTGGCTTGTTTTGGATCTTACACTCTTCTTCTTTTGTCAAGTTAGTTGTAATAACCTATGTCATCACCATATTAAATCTTTTTTAAGGGCTTGGCAATCAGTTCAGTGATCTCTTTAGAGTGTATAACACTCTACTTAAATTACTATCATAACCTTGCTTTTCTCACTTCCATGAGTCAAGTAAGGTTGTGTTTTTTACCAGAAAATAAATATTTGCTATCAATATTGTTCTCTGGTGTCCTGCGTTCCCAAAACATAACTATTAAAAAGCTAGGAACATGAGTTTGGTGACGGAAAACTCCTTAGTTTTTACTAAGACTAAATTTAAACTATAAACCTTCATTTAACATGGATTGCTGTACTGCTTTAAGTCTCAAAAGAGAACATTTCAATCTCCAAAGACTAACTCAGTTGTCTCTTTTAAGAGTTATCAGAATAGGGCCTCCCCGGTGGCGCAGTGGTTGAGCGCTGGGTTGCGAAGCTGCCTGCAGCCTCTGCAGCGCCGGTTCGATCCCCAGCCACCAGGGAGGGTCCCACATGGCGCGCAGACCTCTCCTGCCGCCCGCTGCTCCCCCCCAGCAGTGTACTTAATCTGTCTGCCTGTTCTGCTCTCTGCTCTGGCTCTGGTGAATTCTCTCACCCTCCCGTGCTTCTGACTGTACCCAGTGCTTGTATAAATAAATAAATTAATTTAAAAAAAAAAAAAAAAAAAAAAAGTTATCAGAATAGCATTATGCTGAAAATGACAGTCTGGCTATGTTCTGTTTGTTAATCAGCACAGACTTGCTGGCCAACTGCAACTGGCTGTAAGTCCTTATCGCAAATAAAACTATTTTCGAGCCATTTCTATTTTTCACTTAAACATCACCAGCTCTTCCAGACTCAGGACCTGTCAAGTGTTCTGCTGCCAAGACTCTGCCTGTCAGAAAGGTCAGCATCCAGTACCTTCCAGTTGGGTCCCAAAGGGCCTCTCTTGGTCTTGACTGACTGGAATAATGCTGGGTCTTCATCAGCTTTGTAGTCCTGCAAAGCAAAACAAAGTCAGAGGCAGAGAAGAAAACCAGAGAAAATTCTTAAACCTTGCCAGAACAGCTCTTTGCAGCTACTAAAACACATGACAGAAACCAATTAGGTTTACTGGCTTTTATATAAAAGTTAGAAAATGCTTCTATATGATATTTAGTTTTTGGTATGGTTTGGTTTGGCAAGCCTTTTAAAATTAGCAGTCCACCAATGCCTGGTTAATTACCAGAGAGTTACCTCCAAGAATAAATCTCCATTTTCCAATAGCTTCAGCATTTTGACATACTTCTAAGCATTTCAGAAACAAAACACACCCATTGCAGTTTTGACAATACCCGTAAATGAGAACGGACCCTAACACCTACATGGGAGCAACTACTATAACTGAAAACACAGATGAAAACTGCTGATCCCATGGTGTGCCCCACCTCTCTGTGCAGATGGTTGGGTCTGTGGTATATGCACCAATTAGCAGGCCAGCCTCTCCAAACCCTTGTTCACAGAGCCATGGGATGTACATAACTTGGCTTCCTCATGGAAGACAGACTGCACTCATATTAGTATTTCATTGTTAGAGGAGGTGAGGAAGAGATTTATGACTCTGTAATGGAACTACCTTAGTTATATTATGCCATAGGGAAATGCTCCTAAAATTTAAGTTTTATGTAAGGTTCTATCATTTGTAAATTCTATTCTCTTAATATCCTATTCCTTTTAGAATAGGGGAAATGAAAGGACTAAATCTTTTAAATCCTATTTGCTTTATAAAAGTCCTTTAATCATCACACACACACACACACACACACACACACACACACACAATCTACACATAGAAACAAAAAAAATTGCTTTTGAAGACCTGGCATCCAGATTTAAGTAAAAGAGTTGTAATGGTAATAATGAAAAGAATTCTGCTGGTCAGTTGCAAATACCACAAAGGAAGAGCCTCTTCCTTTTTAAGCCAGAAATAACAGAGGTGCTTCACAGTACTTAGGGAGGGACCACATACTTTGGGAAAACTGCCCAGACAAGCCAAATATGAAAAAGCATTGTTGTAGAGATAAGGGCATTGCAAGCACTGAACATACTTCAAATATAATACAAACTTCGACAAGTCAAAGAAAGCAAGCTGAGTAGCAGTCAACCAAGACTGAACAGTTACTCAGCAAATCATATATGTTAATGATTCCTAACTAAATAATGTAAAGAAAGGAAAATGTGAGGTTCAGGTAGAAAACAGAAATTTAAAGAAAGATAATTGGGTAAATATGTGACCATGAACTCAACGTCTGAAGGTTGTCTTCTAAGACGCTATAAGAAAGTCCAACAATGGGCTAAATTACAGAAGCAAACCTACCCGGCCACAATAAGCCTTATGTTTAAAAATCCGCAGTGTGGCGTGGCCACAGGCATTAGGTCAGTCAGCACTATCCAGGAACAACAAACTGGGCTGAGCCAATGGCAAGGAATCTGACAGCTAGAGTCACACCCTAAAAATTAACAACTTCACTGCTGACTGAGAAAAATCAACTGTTTGGTGGTTTCAAGACCTGGATTCACAGTGAGAAATTACCTACCCCACTAACATAACAAACTGCATGCCTCTATAGACCATTTCCTTCTAGGTCAGAGGCTTTGCAATTAAAACCCAGAATCGGGCTCACTTTTCTCCAAAGCTGAAAATGTTTAACATTATATCCAATAATCACTTTTGGTATCATTTCCCTTAATGAAGTCTATTTCTTGAACTAGAACTTCTTTTCCTGAAGAAGGACATGTACAGGTAGTGCACCAGAGTTAACAGGCAGGTTAACAGGGAGGTCTGAGGAGCTAAGGAAAACCAGCACCTGGTTCTGGCTCCCAGAAAGTTATAGCCTAACTGGGAGAAAGGAGATGCAAACAAAGAAAAGGTCACTGAAACCACAGGGGGTATGAGTTAGTTGCCAGTAGAGAAGGGAAAGAAGAATCATGGTCAGAAGTGAAAACAACCTATACCAGCCAAGGAAATGTAACTTTTTAAATGAGTATTAAAATAAAAATCTTATTCCAAGTGCATTATATGAATATATTTTAATCATCTGTATAATGTCCAGAGGCCTGTGTAGTGTTTAACAGTCATCCATTTGAATGAAAAGTAGTTTTTTTTCTGTTTACTAACTGGGGTGTGATCTTGTCATGGGCATGATGATACAGTTTTTGCTTTTTAATTTTTTGTTGTTGTTGTTTTACAAAATCTGAGATGATATGGAAACTGGCATGAGTTGAATAGTAAATACTACTTTCCTGAATCAAAGAGAGAGTCAATTAGAGAATGGCACCATTATTTTATGTACCCTTAAAAAGGAAAACACTCAGTCAATAAAACATGCTGTAATTGGAAGAGAAATCCTGATCCTGAATATATTAAAATGTGAGGGGGGAAAAAGGTGAGGATCTTAGAACTGATGAAATAGTGACTGCAGAACTAAATTTGCCTGTACTGAGAGAAAGAAAAAAACAAAAGCCATAAAACAAGTATGCACAAATATCAGTAGGGCCAGAGGGAAAAAAGGATTGTTCATCAACCCACCAAGAAATAACAAATTTAAGAGAAGCGAGCTTAGTCCAAATTGCGGCCAGTATAAATTATTCTTGCGTACAGGTAAATTAAGTGATTCGGCCAGAAGGGCTTAAGCTTGATTATGGCATCGGTGAAGGGGAAAATGTGGGTGGATGGACTAGATGGACTTTTTGACAATTCTCTTCCTAACTCCACCTCCACAGCAGGGAGAAACTTCAGAGATTTCCAATACCTATTTGACATGGTTCAATGAAGAACATGGAACTTTTCTACCCTGGACCTAACTAATATATATTTTGTCCTGAGCCTTCATTATTAGCGCCAGGTGGTTACTGAGATATTTTCTGAAACTGAATTCATAGAATTATAGAGACCTGAACCCTGAAGACCATCTAAGCTGCCTCATTTTATAGCTGAGGAAACAAGTTCAGCAAGGAGATAGTGAGACTCATCTACCATCAAGGACTTTAAAACAAGCCTTCTGAGGGCCTCCTCGGTGGCGCAGCGGTTGAGCGCTGGGTTGCGAAACTGCCCGCGGCCTCTGTGGCGCCAGTTCGATCCCCGGCTGCTCCCCGGCCACCGGAGAAGGGTCCCGCATGGCGCGCAGACCTCTCCTGCCGCCCGCTGCTCCCCTCAGCAGTGTACTTCGGTCCTTCTGCCTGCTCTGCTCCCCGCTCTGGCTCTGGTGAATTCTCTCACCCTCCCGCGCTTCTGACTGTACCCAGTGCATGTATAAACAAAAAACAAACAAATAAATAAATAAACATGCCTCAAAAAAAAAAAAAAAAAAATGCCTTCTGAGCCCATGCCTGGGTTCATACTAACCCTATACAAGAGGGCAAAAGGATGTCCAGAGATACCAGGTAAGTAAAACACATTTCAAAAACACAATAAAGCAGTGGCACCCGAGGCACCAAAGTAGATTTTCCTATAAGGCACAAATGTGTGCATATAATATTATATATACATATCCATGTATCGCCAAAGCTAAGTCTTCCCTCTGCCTTTTTCTCTTGAATACAAAGCAGCAAACATTAAAGATATACTGAAAATGTAACAAAACCCAATTATTAACAATAACACCTTACCCTTGACAGATGAGAATAATGCATCTTGTCAAAACCAAGGAATTTGGGGGCATTTTTATGTTAGTTTGAATACGTAAATGTTTAATCAGCTGAATTAAGTAGCAAGATATTAAAAAGCAGGAAGCAGGTGTAGTTTTAACAACCTCAGTTTTGTATTTCTGTAACAAACATTTAATTTTTGAACAGTATCTTCTTTACTACAATTTTATTGTGGGATATCTAGTTTTGACTTTCTGTATTTGAAAACTGGCCGACTTATATCCATATCACAATGAACAAATATATTCCTTCATGTATGACAGTTTCAGCATACAGAATGCAACCTCAGCTACCAATTATAGCTGCAAATGAGCAATAGTGTGGAATGAGACAGCCTGCTGGCTTTGTTAGTATTCTGTCTCCTTTGGGATCCCATGGGGAAAGGGGAGGCTCTGATGAAGAGAAGCCCTTGGCTCATGGTTTATTGTGCTTGCCACCAGCTGCAGACTTCTCATCTCATTAGTTCTTTTAGAATACTGTGGGTGAAGACAGCTGTAGCCTACTTGAGTCTTCAGCTCCTGGGTATTCTGAAGGCTGAATTTGCTATGCACTTTCTGTAATCCTTGGGAAAAAAATGAAAGCAAATTCACTATGCCAAGGAAATGTATTTTTAAAATGAGTTTTAAAATCATGTTTAAAGGTAGACAAATCTTATTGCTAAGGTGCATTGTGTTGAAAAATTTTTATGATCAAATTTTAATTATCTGTATAATGCCCAGAGGCCTGGCCAGGATAAGGGCTTAGTAAAACCATCATTATCAAGTTAGGTGTAATGTCCCTAGACACTGCTCGTTCCACCAATACTGGTGCTCGAACAACAGAAAAACACAATGGTATCAGCATAAGGTAGATTCGGATTAGGTTAATACAACTCTATTTAATTGAAAACTCCTATTTAAGTGAAAAAAAGGAGGCAAGTCAAAGTTAAGACACCCTTTGGAGAACAAATACAATATAATATGGTAAATAAACGGATTACAGAGTCTCCATGCTGGAGCCACAGAATACATTCATTAAATTCTTATAAATAACTGTTTTCTGTCACTGGAATACAAAAGTTGTACTACCTCTTGGGTGTACATCTGTTACTCACTACAGCTCTCAATAGAAACTCAACAGAAACCAGATTCATTTTGAAGACAAAGAATATCAGCTTCATGAATCTTTTGGCGTCGTGGCTGGTCCCCCAAATGCAAGCACAATATCTGTGCTGAGCCAACTTAAATGTCGTTGAGCTCAGATTTAACTCATGATTATGAATGGGGAAGCGAGTGGAGGGTGGGAGTGGGGGAGGCTGGTCGAAGTTTCTTGAC